AAACTGGCAAGACGTGGGAAAAGCCCTGTAAACAGGTTGCCTGCTGTTCGTCCAATCAGTGACAGCGACACCGCAAATATGCAAATAAGAACGTTAACCCGGGGTTTAAAAATGTACAGTGTGAAACTTCTGTTAATAAATACCCAGGATTAACATTTATCCCTAGGTATAGTATGAGCAGTGTGAAACGTGATTACAGATAACCCAGGATTCTGTTTAGCCGGGGTTAAGGTTGATTCAGGGTTAACAATTTCAAGTGTGAAAAGCCCATTTGTCTTCTGTTCCCATTGAGGGAGGTTTTTGTATTGGAGATTTATACTTACTGACAATATATTGGCCTTGGCCAAAGGCAGCATGGGGCAATATGATGCTGCTTTACCGCAGTTTAACCTCTGCTGACAATGGTAAAAAGAGGCTAGAGGTGACCTTTTCATTGCAAAGTCCACCACCAAAGTACTCTTGCTCAATGCATTCATCACTTTGTATTTACCCAGGAGGAGGATGTTGGGGCGGATCCCAGGAAGTGGAATGTAAGGGCGAAGGTGATTCCTGCCTTGACCTGGCTGAATGTGAAGTAGAAGGGGATGGGAATAGGAATGGTTTTAAATGAACTGAGGAAGTGATCTGTTGGTCATTAGAAGTGTAGGGCCTTATGATTTTCCGTGGACAGAATCGCTGAATAAGTAGGTCAGTAAACGTAAATCAAAATGTGATATGGACTAGCGTCTGTGAATATTAAACTGCAAAACTACTATTTAAATATGAATCCTGCCTGTTCTGCCTGTTTCAGTGTGAATGGATGACGCGTGGCTTCGTTTACTACTGTAGACTGTATAAAAACATGGACATAGTGTCCGTGACGTCACCCATAGGTTTCTGAAGAGCATTTTGGAGCCGACTGTCGCTATCTTGGCAGCGCGTCATTGCACGTCACTCCTGTGGATGATCGAAAATGGGCAAAGAGGTGGGACGTGGGTGGAGCTGGTTGCTCAAAGTCACAAATTGAGTTTGTCACAAAATCAAAAGTCACAAAATCAATTAATTAGAGATGCTTTTGATTATTAAAATTTAATGAAACCATTAAATTGTAATTCAGAAAATTAATGGAAAACGGAATTTTGTAAAAAAAAAACTGAATTTGGGAAAAAAATTTAACATTTCATAGGGCCTTAATTTAATTTTTGTTAAACTTTTAATAAATTGCTGTTTAATATTGTAAGTTTCATGATTTCAATTAATTAATAGATATGCTTTTTGATTAATAAAATTTAATTTAACCATTAAAACAGAGTCTAGAAAAAATTTAACGGGGGAAAAAACTGAATCCAGAAATATGTATACAGAAAAAAATGGTATTTGGAATAAAATAAAACCTGAATTTGGGAAAAAATAAAACCGATTTCATAGGTGTGTCTCCTCACCGGCTGCAGTGTAACTGCAGTATAAACAGTGTGGTAGGGAAATATGACTCTATTCATACAGCCTTCTTCATAGGAAAAGTGTTGTTGCCACATGCCTGCCATCTGTTCTCAGAACACTTAATCAGAGCAGAAAGAGCTAGATTAGCTGTCTGAACACAGGAGGAGTCACTCGAATCCCACTTGTCACAGGGTAACACTATTGCCTATGCTCTACCTTGGCAGGCCGCGAACACTGTAGCTTGTTCGTGTGGTTGAGAAGACCCTGTCTCCTACACTGTGAAAGTACATTTGTTTTATTTTCACTTCCGAAAGATGAGGCTGTAAAGAATCAGTGGTTAAAATTCACAGCAGAACAACCCCAATGGTAACCCCATTACCATTATTTGGACCAGCTGGCTCCACTGAATCACAACCTATAAGTATGATAAATAATAATAAATAATTTATGTTCTATTTAGCGTTCAAAATACAGAGATATGGCAATGGGCTTATCGTTTCCGACATGCGCTGTACACGGTAGACCAATCACAACAGACTGGGCCATCTGACCAATCAGAGCAGAGTAGGCTCACGGAAAGGAGAGGTTTAGAGAGACTGACTCTTAGAACTGCTTTGAACAAATAGTTTGAGAATCATTGGAAAATGAGGTGATATTAAATGCATATCTTGAGAAAACGAAAATGTTTTTTGATCTTGCATGCATGTAAACCTATTGTAGGAGACTCCCAAAACAATATTAGGAACCTTAAAAATGGCATAATAGGGGCACTTTAATATCTGTGCATCAGTATTTTATTTTTTTATTTTTTTTTACTATTTATATTTATTTGTTTTATTTAGACATTTATTTGGGTGTTTGGACATTTATGTAGACAAAATAGTATATAATTTCAATATCTGATATTTATCGGTTATTGGACAGAATTGTAAAATCTGTGAATCTATTTAAATTTTTAGTATTTTATTCATACATAAAATGTATTTATATCAATATTTTAGTTTTTAGTGTTTTATATCTATTTATATTTGTTTTATTTAGACATTATTTGTAGAAAAAAAAACTACAGATCTTTATATCTGACATTTACTGGTTATTGAACCTAATTTTAATCACTGCGCATCAGTGTTATCAAATGACGGTGATATTATCACACATACTTTTCCAAATAACTTGAATAGTTGGTTGTCTATTCTTGGTGTCATAAGAGATGGATGCCCTCCTCTCTCTCATCACCTCATCACTGTCAAGGTGAGACCTAAACATCTATTCAGTGGTTCAGTCTAGTCATCCTTTAAACTGTGAACACATATTCTAAACGTATCAGTTACTTTTCAAAACAAGTTTGTGTGCTGACGGTTGCCCTGCCGTTCCTGTAATGTAACATTGGAGAGTCTCTGGGGAAGAGCGGGTCTTTTGTGAAGCTAGGAATCCAGTGGCTGTTGGAGAAGCCGACAGGCTTTCTGAATAGCTGTACTGAGCCCTCAGAACTGCCAGCGGATCAGATTACAGACTTGAAGAATTTTTAACTGCTTTGTCTGCTGGAAGGACCCACTGATCTATGGGGGCTCACTATGGGGCCGCAGGCTTTGAAATGGGGCCCGCTGCTCTCTGGGGCTCCATTGACTTCTGTTGAAGTTTGCTGCATCTGCCTAAAAAAAGGAAAGTTGTCCAAACATCTTGTGTTGTTTAGCCTGAATCATGACTGAGTATGGGTGTTTCTCATACAAAGGAAGTGGTTCGTCTCCTTTTATTATGAAGGAGGTTGGTGGAAGTTTCTGTCTTAGATGTCAGCTATTCTCTAGTTGTTGTGAAGTCACATGTAACACAATTTTGTTGTATGGAAGAAAAAAATACATTTTGATTTGCAAGTAAAAAGTAAAATGCTTTTGGATCAAAATGTATATATTGAGACCTAATTTAGCAACTGTCATGATGCCTTAACCCGAAGGTTGTGGGTTCGAGTTTCAGGTCCGGCAGGAATTGTCGGTGGGGGGGAGTGAATAACCAGAACTCTCTTCCACCCTCAATACCACGACTGAGGTGAGACCCTTGAGCAAGGCACAGAACCTCCAACTGCACCCTGGGCACCGCAGCACATGGTTGCCCACTGCTCCGGGTGTGTGTTCACTACTATGTGTGTGCACTTGGATGGGTTAAATGCAGAGCACAAATTCCGAGTATGGGTCTCCATACTTGGCCACACTTCACTTCACTTTTCACTTTCCCCTTCCACTTCACTTTTAGACCTGGATTGATAAGCATTTCTTATTCAGAAAATATGTGGATATTTTTTTCCAGCGTGTCTGCAGCATGATTGGATGGAAATCTGATCCTTCTTGTCACACTTGTATGCGGTCTATGTGTCAACTGAAGCATTTCTGTAATTTACGGTACTTTAAAAACATTGAAAGAATGCATTCAAAATACTTTTGCCATGTCTTGCATTTCCTTTCATTTCAACCCCTCAGAAAAGAAAAGAAATGAGATTCCAAGTAATTTCTCAGAGTTCAGGGTGACGTGATTTATGTATCAGTGCAACCTTGCTACATATTACTTTCATAGCTGAATGACAGCACATATGCATTTACACCCTAATTTAAATGTGGTGAAAATCTGTTCCAGATCACTTTTAAATGTGATTTCAGTGATCCGATCATATTCCAGACACAATGTGCCTTGGCTTTTGACATAATGTAATGTATTGTGATCCCAGCCTGATCACCGAGGGGTCATAAGATTGTTGTACTCTAAATAATGTCAGTAGATGATTTGGAGAGGGGCTCTTTCACATGATGGATTCATTCGTAGAGAAATTATAAATTTTTTGGCCCAATAATATGCCTCAAATAAATGGATATTTATTTAAATCGAGAAGTAAAAATGTGCTAGCTGGCTCCAGTCTGGAGAAGAGTCGCCTGTTTATTATGTCTATTTTCCAGCTGTGTAAAAGCTCATTCTATCCAAGAATGTCTGTATCAGCTTATAAAATACACTATATTGTAAATGCTGCTGACTGCTGTTGAGTGGATATGAGCTTTAAAACAAAATGCCCCATGATATATGGCTCCTCATTATGTCTTTTCTTCATGTCTGCAGGGTCAGAGGTCATTTCCAGCCACCGCAGCAGTAGCAGCAGCAGCAGTAGCGTCATGGCAGAGTCAGTTATACCAGAGATGCCTCCAGCCATGTACCTGGAGAAGCCCAGCGTCGACTTCAGCTATGTGGGCATCGATGCCATCCTGGAGCAGATGAGGAGGAAGGCCATGAAACAGGGCTTTGAGCTCAACATCATGGTAGTGGGTGAGTCAACATTTCAAGCATTGATCTATGACAAATTAGTCGGCTACATTTATATTAAAAGATTGGACTGTACTGTATTGAAAGGAAACAGCACTACTCATTTGAAACGTGCCACACAGACCATTTATCCGCTCAGCTCAAAGTTCAAAGGGTAGCGCAGTGCGAGCTTACCAGAGCAGATACATTTACTCACTGATAAGTCTCAGTCATGCGACCACTAAACAGCGAAGAACACAAATGACTCTGTGATTTAAACTAGTTTAAAGCCAGATGAAATGGCGCTGACAAACAGCAGAAACACTGTGTGCAAAGATGCAGTCAGAAGGCTTTTCAATATACAAATCACCATTATTTTCCATGAATTTACTGTAGTAACACTAACCACACCATGATATTGTGGCAGAAATGTGGGATATTAATATCCAGTTTTATTAGATTATTAATGTAGACATGTATTAAATATATTAAAGGAGTAATGAAATATAATTACAGTATTTTTTGCTATTTTGTGATTGCGTTTGTGCATTTATACTAAATGAATTTAGACTACTGTTTTTCATACAAATACCTAGAAACCATATAGTTACATTTTTACCATGGTGTTGAGGTGCTATATGTGTGGTTTTAACTGTGGTTATCACTAACTAAATGTATGCTATTATGGAAGACTGATGGATAATTTTAAAGGGGTCATGAACTGAGAAATCAAAATTCCCTTGATCTTTTGACGTATAAGAGGTCATTGTACTATAAAAACATCCTGTAAGTTTCAGAAATCAAAACGTTCTTGTTAGTCTAAATAGGGCTTATATTGAAGCCAATCTGCCAAAATGACAGGTTGTGGAATGTGCCACTTTATGATGTAATAGTGTGGCTAAACCCCGCCTCCGCAGAAGATTGGTGCCTGCTTCTACAGCACTGCCTGATTAGCCCCGCCCACCGATTCGCGCATGTAGTGTAAATAACGAGGCTATCGCAGGTCTATGCAGAAACCAAACAATAAAGATGCTCAGAAGACAAGACGCTGTGCAGTGCCAAGTTGTGCAAAAAACACAGTTTTTGCGTTGCATTCCTTCTGATCCCAACATTAGGAAAAGAGTGCTGTGCTGAATATATTGGATCCGACATTACATCCGACATGTTGCACCACACAAGTAACTGTGTTTATTATGTGGTTACTATTGCTTTGTCTGTTATTACAGATCATTTGATATGTATGTACTGAGTATTTATGAGTTTTTAACCTAAATCACAGCAGCGTCCATCTGTGAAGGCTGTCGGCTGTCAAACATACACAACTGTTAGCCAATCATAGCAGTGGGCATTTACTATTCCGATGAGGGGGGTCAAAACAGGACAGAAAATAGCCTATTACTTCTAAATTGTTTTTTTGATGTAAAAATCTTGATTACATTATAAGTGGACCTCAAAATAATAAAAACAGTAAAAAATTATTTTAAAAAGGCAGTTCATAAAAAGGCACCCCTTTTATAAAACACAAACACTCAGAATAATTAATTTTCACTATAAAAAATTTGGTTGCTACAATTTTATAAAGATGTTACTGTTTTTGATAATGGACATAAATTTGCACCTGTATCCTAACTAGTGGTCGACCGATATATCGCCGATATATTTGGAATTTTTTTTATATCTGCATCAGCTGATAAGTCTTTCCATGTGGCCGATGTTTTTCAAAACGGTTTATGACACCATATCGTGCATTTATGCTTCCTCTTTAAGACAAGCCACTCAGATGTGAACTTGTGAAGCCAGCACCTGACAGACAGTAAAATGACCAATCATTATTCACTTTCTAACGTGACGCTACGCAGTTTTACATACAATAACACTCCGACGTGCAGAAAAATCGTATTCAAATGTACCGTGATAGATCAGATCCGCAGCTGTTATATAAACGAATTCGAACAAAAATGAAACCATGTTTCTCTCACAAACAATCAAAAATTCTTCTTCAGATATGCGCGTTGTTCTCAGGTACGTCTAAACAAGACGCTGTTTTCCAGTGGACTCAAAAGCCGGTGCACTCCAGAACGAAAGCTGGGTCAACACGAGAACTCTAAGTAATAATAATAAGTTTGAATTCCTTTATATTTTTATTCAGGAATATTCACTGTATTTAATTGCCCATGATTGCCGTAATATCGCGTGTAGTATACCTGTTCATATGTTCTGGTCTTATTTAATGCTGCTGTAGGCTGGTAACCAAACATGTACGCCTTCAGACTTGTATTATTTTTTACAATGAAACAGACAAGCAAAACGAAACAGATCAGAGACATAAATCTTTAGTATTAACCAACTATTCCATACTATAATTAAAACAACCTGTTGCTCGGTAAACTATATATGTATTGTACATAAAATACATGGAATTACACATACTATTTTTGACATTAATTTATTGACATTACAAAACCTAAACAATTAAAATGTGTTTTATATATATATATATATATATATATATATATATATATATATATATATATATATAGTCTCTCACACAAGTGTGCACACCCCACACATTTTTA